TATATAAACGGATATTATTATCAATAGACGTAAGATTCTATATTTAGTAGAATTATTATTGCCAACTTGCCTTAAGCATACATTCCTATACAATGGATGCTCATCAAATTCACATAAAACGTGACGACGGTGGCAGTTGTGGATACATAAAAGCATAGAATGGAAAGGAAAAAGAATAACATTTTTTGCACAACTTGCATACCACATACCTCACCATATGATGTCGATAAAAATAATAATAATCAATAATTCACCGTCTTGTTTGTGTACCTGTATATATATTTTCTGCAAATCTTTGCAATAAATTTCACATCCAATACTTTTTTTCTCTTTTATGGATGGAAAAATGAGCAAAATTTTTGTGAAGTTTCTTTCTTTTGTACCGACTCATAAATTTTTATGGAATTTTTATTAATTTTTTTTATGATTTGTTTGGTTAAAGCGTGAAAGCTTAGAAATTACTTTTACAGCTTAAAGTTTTTACCTCATAAAGTTCAATATTTTTTAGACATAAATTAAAGAGTTTTATGATTATTTTCCTCATGACTTGTCAAAAAAAAAGTATTTTATGATGCAAAAAACTGAACAAAAGTTTGAAAACTTTAGTCAACTTTTTACGTCATAAAAAACCTCACTATGACTTCTTCATATAAACATTCTTTCTAATGCCAAAAGCATAAAAGTAAACCTTTATGTAGCATTATGTTAAGAACATAAAAATTCCTTTCCTTCTACCCTCCTTATAGCTTAAAATTGCTGCACATTTGTGAAATGAACTTTACAGTTCTGATATGTTGACAATCTTATAAAGTAATATGTACGCACATCTTTTCCTGACAACTGTCAAGTTGAATAAAAATATTTCCATGATTAACCCATCACATCTACATCATACGCATCCATACAATGTGTAGGTGAAGCAAATCTCTTTTCTTATCATTAAATATTTGGTAAGCCAATAGACTTTCATTGAAATGGAAAATTCCTTAAGAATTTTGACGTACTTAATGCTTTGGTTCGTACTTAAAGGAGGTTAATTCAAGACTTAATTCATGATGAATTTGAGGAATTGTTTAAACTTTAACTCTAGTTTCTATGAGTCAAAAACTTGACAATTCAAACCCTGGAAATGCCTTCAATTAAACCAGTAAGAGTTTTACATTTAAAGTTGAAAAGAAGGAATAAGAGGACACTGACATGTTGTTAACGATTTCTTCTTATTTTTTTTCATGACTTCTTTTTGTACTTCTTAGTTTTCTTCATGAAAATGAGCATTTGAGAAATGTCAAGACGTTAAGGAAAAGACAGCACACACAAAAAAAATCGTTGCAATTCTGAATTCTTTTCCTGATACTTAAGAAGTTAAAAAACTTATGTCCGTCATGACAGAAAAGTTTTCGTTTTACTTGAAATTTATGGCTTTACTGGTTCTTAGTTATAGTGCGGGAAATTCTTCTCAAACAGTCGAGAAAAAAAAAGTAGTAAAAAAAGCCACTTTCGATATTTTTTTTTTCATCTGTCGCTCTTACCTTTTTCTTCAAAGAATGGAATCAGAAGAAACCTAAGAATTCTTAATGCTTATCAGATTGGAAATTGTTCACAATTCCGTATATAATTTTCCAATTTTCAGTCGAATACTTCCACGGTGACAAAATTGAATTCATTCTTGTGATCTCTAAAAGTTGTATATTTGGTTTAAAGGAGGTTCTGGGCAGCTTAATATATTTTTAAAAAAACTAGTAAACCTAGCCTGATGCATTTAGTATCGGGCATTCTTTATAACTTCAACAGAACTTTATTAATTCAAAGAAGCATTTTATGCCATTTTTGCAACACCTGTGCAGGACATGCATCAAGAAGAAGCCTTACAGCAACATTATGTCCATTTCTTCCATAAAATAAATTATGTATCCTCTCACAAAATCTAATATTGATTTCTTGATCTTAATGTGTGAGTGTTTTTGTGTGTCAATAATATGAAAAAGGTGTAAAAAGGTTTTGCTGTCACATTCTTTCTTTATTTTTGGCACAATATTTAATTTCTAGAAACTTACTTGACTCACTTTTTCGATATCCAAACCTTTTCTCTTTTTGTTCTTGTCGTTTGTGTATTTGTTGAAATTCTCGAACTCAATAAAGCGGAAAAAACGTTGATTTTCATGAAAGAGTAAGAAGGTCGTGACTGTTTACTGTTATTTCTGTATTAAACACACATACAGAGTTATTAGTTGAAGAAGGAAGCATCAGAGAAAAAGGAAATTACATTTTTTGTTTGTTTATCGACACAAAAATTTGCTCATTTTGTGTTCAGTTTGACTCAAGCTGTGGATCTGATTAACTTTGTGAATAAAAATGTTTATGATTTTTGTATTATAAACAATTAATAGAAACTGCGCTTTGCTTTCACTTATGCAGTTCAACTTCTTTGCATTTTCTTCGTTATACTCCTTTCATGCTCGTCAGACTGATGCATGCGACATGAAATTTACCTTTTAAAATCATCAACAATAATTTGTACTGTTTGCTACATTTACTTTTAGTTACTTCCTTCTTGATATTACATTTTCCTACAAATTTTCATGTTTGACCTTTTCCTTCCTTGCTCTATTGTTAGATTCGTGTTTTTTGTAAATTAGCTCAGGTAATACATAATGACAAGAAGGAAGAAGAAAAGTTGGTACATTAATGTTTTTCAAGAGAATGAAGACACGATTTCAATGTTGAAGAGCTGTACTCAAATTTATTATTAAATTTTGTGGATTAAGAGTCAAAGGAAACTTTAAAATATAATCATCAGAACTCTATTCATCCTTCATACTTGGCTTATAAAGTTAAATCTTTTCATTTAATTAATTCATGCAAATTGTTAAGCATTTCTTTTAATTAGTTTTAGTGATATTTACACGAAAAATTGCATAATAACATAATTTTTATGCAGCATAACTTTCAGTTGACTTAAGAGCGATGAAAAAAATTAAACTTTTTATTCAACAAACATTCACTCATCATGTAATCGTAGTCTGGAATGTAAAAATCTTTATCTTAGCGATGATAGCGATGCAGAATGAGAGGAGAAGTAAGACAATTTTTCAATGTGATGACTAAAGCGCATTTTTCTTGATGCATTAGTTCTAAAAGTATTGCCTTCTTTTATAGCTTTGAGTAAAATTAAATTTCACTGACTCCAATTTTTAAATTTTTTAAAATATTTCTAGTCAAGCAAAATGTTCGGATTTATTCCAAACTTTTCTGCTACCTCACACATGAATGAGTAAGAAAAATCAACGATTTAAATTAATTTTGCAGAGGATATTTCATGGATAAAAGATTTCATCTTCCTTTTTCATCATAAAGTTTAGTAACAAATTAAGCAAACAGATAAAATCGTCTGCATAACTAACGAGACTGTATTGTAGCATGTACACAGCAAAAGAAAAAGAAGGTGAAAGGAGATGATGATGATGAGTGGTGGAGATGGAAAAAGATAGCAAGAAGCGTATTTTTCACACTTTATGGGTCTTGATCCTAATTAGAAACATTCATAGGTAAATTATAAAGAGAGCGAATGGAAGGAAATGAGGAAGGGTGTTGAAATATAAGAGGGATAAAGATTTGCTGCTTTTCTAGGGAGCATGCTAATTTGAGTCTAACAATTGCCACTGCCTTTCTTAAATAATTGGAGCGTATAAAATGGAGCTGATTCATATGGAAATAGAGAAAGAAAAAACTTTTAAGGTTGAATATTGGATAGAATTAAGATAGAAGTTAAAAAGTTTCTAATGTAACTGCTTAGAGCGCATTGTGACTCGCATGCTAGAGTGGTAGACTTTCTGACTAAATAATTCCTTAGAAAACCTCAATCAAAGACAATCTGAAGAATAATTTTACCAAGAACAAGCTTCAGGAAATGACAATACTAGACACGACATTAAGCATATTTACAAAATCCAAAAACATATTTCTTCTGGCTGTTCCTCAATTCTTTTTTCTTCTTAAAATAACATTTGGTGTTAGATGTTTAAGCTTTCCATTGAAGAACAAGAGAGACAACGAAGCAAAAATAAATAAAAAAAAATCATCATAAAAAAGGAAATTGTAAAGTACAACATTTTTCCCATCATTTCGCTTCTCATCTTCATCGTGTACAATTTTCAATTTTCTCCTTCTTCTTCCTTCCTTCTCATCCAGAAGTAGCACACAAAAGCTTTCAGACTTAACGATTGTTTTCATGCAAAACAAAATTAAGTTTTCTCTTGAAATAGCTGAAAGGCATAATTTTCTCTCTCTCTCTGACTGTATATCCGAGAATGTGAATGAATATGGTAGATATAGCATTCGATTGAATATTTTTTTGTGGGTATGTATGTATAGAAAATTCATATCCCTCTATCTCGCTTACGCTGAACAAACCATGACATCTAAATTAAGTTTTAAGCTCCATTTGATATTTAAACTCTGAAGGAATTGTTTTGTTTCCGAATTTCAAGTTTCAATAAAGAATGGAAAAAATATCATTTTACTTTACTTTTCATTCCTTAGGCATGTTTTGTTAGAATGTTTTTGATGTTTTAAGTAGTTCGTGAATTTTTGTTGAGAAGTGATAAAAAGGTTCATTCTAAGGATGATAATGAGCTCTTTTTAAATTTAACATCTTGATAAATGACCTAAACAGCAAGCATAATAAAAATATAATTAAAGTCTTTATAAGGAAATCAAAGCCTCCAAAATGAATAGCTGAAAATCAGATTTACGGTCTTGTATATTTTTCCTGCTGAGCTCTTACTCTTGTTTTGATTTGTTTCCGAAAACGGAAAAAAAATGTTCTACAAGCAATTTTCATTCGGAACGATGGGGGGATTTAATTACTTTCTGTGTCAATATTGCTTTCCAACTTTTTAATAAGATTTATCGTCGATTTATTTATTTATTTTTTATGTGTACACGTAAAGCTACCGTATAGATAGAAAAACTCATTTTTATCCATTCTCTTATTTTCACAGTGATGACCGCTTATCTCTGGCTGAGTTTACGCTCATCTGTCGTGCACTATTTCGAAATGACAAAGGTCATATCTACATTGTTCCATCCGATCACCTCGAGCAGATGTTTGCTGTATTTGATAAGAATCAAGACGGTGAGTTAATTTTATTATTTTTACGAATAGCTATGCATTTCGGGATTATATAATTCGGGGTTTTTGTGCAACTGACAAACTAAATCTCATTCCTGCTTAAACCATTGAACATATCTGAAAAGTAAAAAATATCTGCAAATTGCATTCAATGAGTACTTCTTAAAATTTTATAAAGACTCCACGCTTTCAAATTTGTTCATCTCGATAAAGTTTTGGTAATACCACCGCTATCATCATCATCATCGATTTTCTTACCAAACATGATTCGCCTTAATTGAATTAACATAAAATATGCTGAATGAAATCTTTTCAAAATCCCCTCAAACGCTTAACTAAACCGCCAATTCTCTAACATTCATAAGACTTTTAAATGCCACAAAAACCATACGGAAAGTATTTATTAGATGTTGATATAAAATTCATATACTCGCATCGTTATGCTATACGATGTGATATAACAGCAGAAATTGTGATTCTAAAGCTTAGAAAAATTGTTTCTATAACTTAGAAGCATGTTTTGATAAAGTTGATGGAATGAAATGAAAAAGAGAAGTTAAGTTATAGAAGTTAATGTTTATAAGAAGCAGTTGGTTTGATTTGAATGATGTACTTTAACGTACATAGATCCTGAGCTTCTACAGTCCTAGCAGCAATTTCAACGACATCAACAATCTAAAACTTGATAAAACTTTTAATTTTTTTAACCTTACGAAAGCAAAAGACAAAACTTTTAATCTTTAAAAAGAAATAAAACTGTCGTGACAAAGCATAAATTTTCAATTTCCATTATCGCCTGCTCTTTTTCAATTGTGTGATTTTTCCGATTTTTCTCAGTTCTTGATGATGTAAAATATTCAAAAAAAAAGAATATCCAATAGGAACAGAATGAAGTGGTATGAGAAAATGAAAATTCTCATTCAAAATCGGTTTTGTGGCTTTTTCGGATGGAAAACTCAATTTACATTTTAAAAATAATTTTGTTGTAGATCAATGAAATATGAAAATTATTTTGTTACAAAAAAGAAAATATTCGCACATATTTTGAGAAATTAAGCAGACGAGTACTCAATAATATTGTTATGTTGAGCGCATTTTATGGGAAGCGATATCAAAAATGAATCAATTCTAGTCATGACAAAGTGCCTTAATTATTAATAAATTGCTTATCTTGAAAAATAAACCACTTTTATCTTAAATTGATGCGAATATTTTTTTCTTTGACCGCACCTTAATTTTCCATCAGACATCAATCATAGAAAAAATCATTTTTAACCTCCAATATTCTCTACCTCTTGATGAATGAATAATTGGACGTATTGACTATAAAAAATGATGAAAACGTAGAAATGAAAACGGGTCAGGTGCATGGGACCGACGGAATATTCTGCAGAACTTTCCAGGATTACGGGACTGAAATAAATAGATTCTAAACTTCAAATGGTTAAGTTTTGGAGCTAAATGTTCAAATTTTGTGACCTAAGGAAACTTTAATAATTATTGCAAAGGTTGAAGTAATATTCTATTCAGATTCTAAGCTTCAAATGGATAAGTTTTGGAACTTTAGTCCATTCTAAATACCATTTCTATTTCTATAACTTCCATGAAGCACTTTGAGTCTAAACATTAGCGATAAACAAATAAATGCGGAATATTCCGTCAATCCTGTGCTCCTTCGCCCTTGAAAGGTTGATTTAAAGACTTTGTTGTTGATTTTAATTATTTTCTCCATCTTATATTTACAGGCTATATCGATAGAGATGAATTTACCTTTTGTTGGAACAACTGGATAAAAACAGTAAGTTTGGAACTCAATAATGAACATCCTTTAAGTTAAAGTGACTAGTTCCCAGAACTGTTAAAAATCGAAAGTTTATTGGTGTTAAGATGCTCAAGATTGAAAAGTTTGGTTCTCTAAAATGAACATAAAATATAGTTGATTTAAGCATTTCCAATAAGAATGCATCCTAGTCTTTGATTAAAGTCTCACCATGATGAATTTTCTCCTTTCTTTATGCAAGGCTTTATATTATATTCTCTTTATCCTGCTATTGCTCTTATTCTTTCATTCTTTCATCGTTCGCCCAGTGATTGATGTACAACAATGGATGACTATTGAACATATAGACAGATATAAAAATGTTGACTTACCCATCCACATCGTCTGTGTAACTGATGATGTTGTAAATATAAATGACTCAAATATTATCGTCTATGCAATGAACATCAATGAACCTTCTAGAATACTTGCTTGATTTTTTATGTCCCTCATGTATTCTTCTCATACTGTTGATAGCTGTTGACGTTGTGAACAATAATATTTGAAAAGATTTTTTTATCGTCTTTAATTTCTGCTCTTCAGCATCACATGCTGTTTATGTTGTTATTTATGACTTTTTCACTAAAATAGGCAATTTTAAGACATGAATCATATTTATTGGCTATTTATAGAGATGAAGACATAAAATGTTTGGGCTTTATGTACGGAAGATTTAAATTTAATTATTTATGAATTGTTTTTAATGATATTAATTGACTAGGCAACTTGTGACTTGCAGTCATTCCTAATAATTTCAGCAAATAATGAAATAATTCATTTAATTCCATTAAAGATTGTTGGCATGCGTTTCTAATTCATTCTGAAAAGCTCTTGATTTTAAACTCTTATTAATAGTTCCTTGAATAATTGAATGAATTCAGTTTCTTGAATCTGAAAACCTTTTATTCCTGTACATCCATTTCACGTGCCCTTAAAGTTTAGCATAAATACAATATTCAATCTGATTAAATCTAACGGAAAAATGGTTAAAAATTGGATCCATTTCGTTTCACATCTGTCTATTGCTGCTACATCCATCTCTTTTCAACAATAGCAACTCCTAATGTCACTCACAGATTCATTTATGTGAGAACTTTACTTTTTCATTTCAATAGGTCTCATTGTCAGTTGATGATACATTTAGATCCTGTCTTTTGTCGTTATCCTACTGTCATTCTGATTTTTTGAGAGCATATAATTTCCGTTGATTGCTGAAATTTTAATGAATGTGAAATTACCTTTGGATAATAACGGATGTATCGAAGAGTTTATTTGGCTGTGTTTTGTGACTACTTTCACTACTTGATAAGAAGAATTAACGACCTCCTATATTAGTTCTTCCTCTTTTGCCATCTGTTTGCGATTTTCGTAATGTCTCACATCTGAACATGAGTCTACATTTAATCCTGAAAGCTTCTTCCACATCTCCCAAGAAAAATGGCATGAAAGTGAGCACAATTCGCAAATGTTTATCACTATCGCCATGTGAACATCATCATTTTAAAATAATTTTCACTTCTTCTTGCTTGATTCTAGTCTCACTTCATAATAACCATGGGATGAAAATGTGTATGAGAAAAATTGAATGAGCGTAGAGAATGAGAATGAAAAATTATGTACTATGGTAGCAACAGCAGTGTAGAAAAATTTCAATGCCTTTTTCTATAATGTGTTTACGGGTGTGTGTTGTGGTGGTTCCTTTACAGTAGCTTCGTCTCGATGGGGTGGAAATTTGATGGATATGAGATACAGCTAATAAAAGAAGAACTTCTAAAAAAGTTGATTAAAGACCTGTTTTAGGATTAATAAATAAAAACAAAGTAAATTAGAAAGCTTTACATAAGCATCGGCTAGCATCAAAGCTTAGAAACCTTGAAACCCCAAAATTTTGAAATATTTTCTTCACATCAGCAACTAAGCGACATATGGAGACATTATTTTCTCTTATCGTCTTCGTCTTTATACTGCTCATATATTCACTGTTGAAAGCTTTCATATTATTATCATCCTATACCATTTGGACATTTTTAAAAGCTCAACATGTTCATTGAATTCTATTGACTTGATTTCTCAATAAATTCTTTAAAACACAACTGCTGATGTCTTTATAGATGTATGCTTCTTAAGAAAATGAAAAATGTGTCCACCTGGAAATTGAAAAATGATATAAAAATGTTTTCAATAATATAGTCAAGCATCCATACTGTTATGAGCAATTCCTTGCTTCCGGTTCATTCAAATGGAATCAAATCCCTCAGTTGATTACTTTTTTTCCCTTTTCTGTAGCTTTTTGCAACACACAAAGGAAGCGAGAGGAAAAAAATTAAGGATCTTCAATAATTCCAATGTGTAGGTTTCCTTTTGGCTTGAAATTCACCTTCCTTTCCATTTTTCACATTATGAAAAATTTTAGAAAAAAAATAAATTAAAATTTTTAAATTCGTGCTCCAGACCAAAGTTAAGTTTTGAACTTAAAAAAACATTTAATTTAAATTCTGACAAAATGATGCTAAGGCATTTGGGTACGCGTTTGCAATTCATAGAAATGTACATTTTATTCCAAAAAGAATCTTTTCATTGAATTTAGGTGTATGGAAATTAATTTAAGGAGAATTTCATTTACTTTTGGTCTGCTCAATCATCCTTTAAGCTTTTTAGGGTTTCTATTGAACCTAGTTGTAGTTGGAATATGTCTCTATCATTTTACAGTATTTTAGATTCACTCGATTCATTTTGAAATGAAAACTTTATGTTCCTGAATGGTTGTTATGATCAAACCTTATTCAAATTTTGATAGAAATTCAAGATAAAAAGTTTAAATTGTTTTTTCAGATCGTCAGACCAATAAATGCTTTTTTGGTTGTGGATGTACAAAATGATTTTATAAGTGGATCCTTAAACATCAGTAACTGTGGTGCTCAACACAATGGCTTAGAGGTGAGTTTGAAAAATGGTTTCAAAAATATTATTTTAAAAGTTTCATAAAATCGAATTTTTTGGAAAGAGTAAAGGTTTGGTGCTCTAAATAAGATGCATAAAAATCTTTTAAATAAAATTGCAAATTTAAAGTTTATATCTATTTTTAACGTCGTCTGTTTTACGAACAATAAAGCCCGGATATTCACAAAAAAATTGAATACATCGTACACAACCTTTGATATTTAAAGACAACCTTTTCAAACTGCATACAATTACTCTCATCTCCGCTTTTTGTCATGAAAGATTGAATGTCTATTTCTTCCTTTATTCCAAAGTCAAATACACACAGAAAATGAAATTTAAATGCTTACTCTCCGTTTGTTGTTTGCCTTCCCTTTTCGTTTTAATTTCCGGACAATTCAAGCAGCGATAAACGATAACAGAACTGATATGAAAATAGAGAAATTCTCGAGAAAAGTAAAATTGAGAAGAGGAAAAATCTCGTAAAAAAGTTGATAGCAAAGTTTAGCTATTATCAGTTCTATATCGAGTCTAAGAGATCCTGTTAATTGAAAAAAAAAGAAAATAAAAGAAGACTGAAAAATTTTCATGCTTAACAAAAATTGTGAGAATTATAGAAATGTAAAAAATGTTAAGGTTCAATGTTCATCTTGTAATGTGAAAAGAAGAACGAAGAAGATAAGGACGGAAGTAAGGGGGACGTTTAGCAATTTTATTGAAGTAGACGCAAAATCTTCTGCAATGTCCCTAATCCTTCCATAACCTATGATTCAAAGCAGGGTTGCGATACAGTCACCTTTGCACAGGTGAGAACCGTACAATCCCTTGATAATTTGTAAGGTTTTTCTAACAAAACTATACAAATTCTAATAAAACCTTACTAATTATCAAGGAATTGTACGGTTGTCATCTGTACACAGGTGCCTGTGTCGCAGCCCTGATTCAAAATTTAAGATTAGGAGCCTACATTTAGTGAGACGGTTTATCATAAGGTGGATCTTGAGAGAATCCTCAATAAACATCATTGATTATAGCCTCAATCGAGTTCAAAAAATAATTTCACTCGAAACTGGACATAACACCATTCTTATCGACTTAATATATACAAAAAGAATGCACAAAAAAAAATTGAATTTTTAAGAACGGCAAAAATAATTAAAAACTTTTTTCTCTCGCTTCTTTATCATCTGTATAATAAATTCCTTACTTTTTCATTCCATTTCTTCATCATTTTTAATATAATTGAGCTTATTTTGATAAGTTAAGTGACCTCTATCAATTTTAAAAATGGCAAGAGTTTAGTCGAAATCAGATGAATTTGGAGAGAAAAGTTTAAAGCTCTTTATTAAGTTTCGCGTTGTGAAAATTCAATTATTTAATTTTTTTTGGTTCTTTTACTTTTCTTGTTCTTTTATTTCTTTTATTTGTTGTGTTTTCAACTGCGAAGGAGTTACTAGATTCTATAGATAGGGCTTTAATTTTGTAAAAAGCTTTGCTTAAAATAAAGAACTAATTTGAATTAATTTTTAAAAATATCATCGAATGTATTAATTTTATAAATGATGTCAAACTTATAGATTAATAAGAAGCTTGTGAGAATCATTCTAATGGTTTGGAAGAGTTGTCGTTCTTTATTTAAATATGATACACACCATTTGTAAACAGTTCTACTCCAAAAAAAGGATTTGTTAAGTAAAACACAAAAAATAATTAATCTTTTACATAAATATTTGTCATTACAAGGTAAATGTTGGGAAAAAATTCACCGAGTGTTCTTTTTTTGTGCCTTCTAAACTTAATCCTATCGTCTTAGACTTTGCTAAATTGAAAATGTTTTTCAGAGAAATTAAGTAGAAATTCTAAGCTGTTTAAAAGTAGAATTTAGTAGAATTTTGTTGTAAAAGGAAAATTAAATGTCTCATCCTAAAGACTGCTTACAATATGATGTGATTGTCGAATCAGTGAATTCTTTATTAGTTAATTTTAAATTTTCAAAACTTTTACAGAAATTCTCTGTTTTTAAAAAGTTCACAAGAATTTTCATTTCAAACAAAACTTTTGATTTCTCCATGGACACTGAAAGTTTCTCGTTACGATCTTACTCAATGCAACAAAACAGTATCAAATTTCATCTAAACTTAGGATCATGCTGTATCTATAAAATCAAAACTTTCATATATGTTCCTTACTCAAGTTTTCATTGATACTAGAATTAAATCAGAACATTTATATGTTTAGTTTAATTTTGTCATCACACCCATGAACATGCAGGAGAAACTACAGTTAAAATTAAAAGCTTTAATGAGATCTGCAGTGTAAAGTTTCTGACTGAATTTGTCAAGTCAACATGAAGTCGATTCATTAAAATCTAGAAACAAAAACTAATCAACATAAAGTTTATGTTTAATGAGAATTAGAAGCTATAGAAAAGTTTATTTTTTAAAAGTTGTGGATGTGATTTTTTTTATCCTTGTGAGTTGGTCTTCATGATAGGTGAATTTGATAGTTTAATTGCAGTATCTAAAGTTTAAAAGTTTTGTAGGTCAATTTGAATTATTTTAGTCCTTAAAGCTTTGTAATCTCTAGAGCCTAATGCTTCTAATCTGCTTTACAAAAAGTTTAAGATAAAAATTTGTAAATTTCAAAATTCATCCCTAAATCCTTATATAAAGAGTCAGCATCCTTACATCCAACTACTTTCAACAACAACAATGAGCCAGTTTCAATTTTAAATTTTAAGCATTGAATGCAAAAAAAATTCAAACAATTCACAAAAGAGATGAAAATTTAAATCTCAATTTAACACAATTTCATTTTAAAAATAAATAAACGTAATCAGTTTTATATGCAAATGTACAGTGTCAGAAACGGAAGGACGATAGCTGTACAAAAGGAAAAATAATTTTATTTCTCGTTGGTCTCATTATTAAAGCAGTTGTTTGCTCTGTGCATAATTAGTCTTAATAATTAATGGCTAGTTAAAATCGTATAAATATTTACTTAGATAAGAAGTAAAAATGTTGGGATTAAGTTGAAAATTTGAAGAAGAACTGGTTGGAAATGAGAATGTGTTTATTTTTCTAATGAGATATAATCAACTTATACCTGAATAAGTTCATTAATATTTAATTCGAGCATTAAATTAAGGGTTTATTTAAAGATAGTCGAATGTACGGATTTATATCATTTACATATTCAATATCTATTGATATATCTTTACCTAAATAAAATGTATTACTCAATTATGAAGCAAACTTACTTCAGAGTTGTTCACCTTTGACGTATGCTATAATGATCTACAGCTTTAAAAATCAAAGTTGTTGATGAATGGACGTTTATAGATATCAACTCCCATTGGAATATGATTAATGCATTTGCTTAATTAGAACATTAGTGACAAATATGGTCAGTAAGTGCACTTTAGGAGACGATGTGTTCCCCAGGTGATATACATCATTATTCTTTCTCATAATCAAAATTTTAAGCTCAAACCCCATAAATATTTATTACCAATCGATTCCATTCCCAAAAACCAGTAAAACCTTTCCAATTAAATGCAAATCCATTGAATTCTACAGCCAAAAAAATAAATATCATATAAAAGTAAAACAAATCATAAATAAATATTAAAAGTAATTCCATTTTATTGTATTGGGTGCTATACATCAAATTCGATGAGAAAGGGGTGGAGAGACAGAATATCAAAGGCAATAAAAGTTGTTGCTATTTTATTATTAAATAACTTTTGATAGCGTGTGAACAATATTGAAATTTATTATCCATTAAAGCGGTTAACGAAATGTGAAACTTTCTGCAATCGCTTTTCTTCTTCTCATTCTACTGCTGCCTGCCGCACACACCAATTTCAACTCCCCAAAATCTTATACCCATCAGCACTCAACAATTTCATCAATTTATTGCTTTGAATTCATTTGAAATATTTTTACTATCATGATTGTTGATTGGTTTTTGGAATTTGATGAGGTTTAGTCGATTGTCAAACGGGATCATTTATCAATATTATGATTTACGAATCAGATCATTTTAAAAAGAAAGAGAAAATGCGCTTTAGTATTGGGATATCAATAAGCTTTTCTTGGTTCTATAGATTCTTCTTATATCCACCTTTTCATTGCAGAAATTGTGTATTTACATACAAAAATTCCTTTTCACTCATTTGTCTGCTTCACATCTATTCCCACCAGCAATGTGCTGTAATAAAAAAACACAATTTTTTTCTCTTCTTAAAGTTGAAAAAAATAAACGTAAATCATATGATTTTATTACAAGTAAGTTGAACGAAGAGCTAGAAGGGGAAAGGAAGGAAAAAGAATGAAAAAAATGGGTTAAGAGCTGTTGTTAGAGTGAAGACAATGAAATAAACAATAAGCGAAAATGAGCAACGAAGCAAAAGCATTTGGTGAAACATAAAAATATTTTTTATGATACTTTTTCCATTCAACTTTTTTTTTTATTTTATTTCATCTCATAGTTGTAAGGAAAGAAAGTTTTACTTCTCGTTCATAGAATTTTTGTTTCCATAACTTTGTGTATGTTTTTTCAAGCTTTTGCTGTAATTTTTTCAAACAGATGAGGATCTTTTTGATGAAAAGTTTGCGATTTATAAAGTCACTTGATTTAAATAGTTTTACGTGCAATTATGCTTAAATTAGAATCAGTTGTTAATTAGAGATGTTTTTAAATACTCTTATGCTACAAACTTTTAAACCAATGCTTGGTTTCAATACCTTAATGTTCCTAAAATGTCAAAGAATTTTAATTTTGCTTTTTCAAAAATATGCGCTATAAAATCTTTAATAAATTTCAACATGTTTCATAAACTAGAATGAATGGAATCATAAAACACCATAAAGTCATGAACCTCTTTGTCCAACATTCTTTATAATTCAATCGTTTAACAGCACTCGAAAGGTTCTCTTCATGGTTTCTGAAATAAATTTACATTCAGCAAAAATTGTGAAATATTTTTGAAGTTT